CTACTTCGCGTACGAGGGTTTGCGTAAAATCGGCCACGAAGTCAGCCAAGATTTGAGATTTGATGGTCGTCTGGGGTTGATATTTAATATTGTACCCGCCAAGTTCGACTGCCCATTTGGCCAATCGACCTGATAGATCGGGCTTATGCAAAACATTTTGGAGAGGATAAGTGGATAACACACATATGGGGTGATACTGGAAATATGGCTTCAGTTTTCTAGATGCGCTTATTGATGCAAGTGCCAATTTCTCTAGATGTGGGTATCTAGTTTCAGCATCTCTTAAGGTTCGACTCACATAATAAATAGGGAATTGTGTACCTTGCTCTTCTCGAACTAATACGCCACTTTGGATATCGCCAAGTATAAATACAACTTCTCATCTGCCTTCGGAGTGTGAAACAGAGGTGGTCTCAATAAGTATCGCTTCAATTCTTCCAATGCTTGTTGACATTTCGGGGTCCATGTGAAATTATTTTTCTTTTTAAGTAAGGAAACGAACTTGTGGCTTCGATCTGACGACCTCGAAATGAATCGGTCCAAGGTAGCTATCCATCCGGGTAGCCTTTGTACGACTTTCACATTGTCTACGATGGTGATATCCTCGATTGCCTTAATCTTATCGGGGTTGATTTTGATACCATGAAGCCGAGGAATTTGCCTGAGCCGACCCCAAAGGCACATATTTCGGGGTTAAGTTTCATGTTGTATTTCCTCAATATTTCGAATGTTTCCTGCAAATAAATCAAATGGTCCTCTGCACGCAAGGACTTAAGTAACATATCATCAATGTAAACTTCCATTGATTTGCCTATCTGTTCCTCGAACATTTTGTTAATTAGGCGTTGGTATGTAGCCCCAACATTTTTTAGCCCGAATGGTATTACATTGTAACAGTATGTTCCAAACTTAGTGATAAACGAGGTCTTCTCTTGATCCTCTAGGTTCATCTGAATTTGATTGTACTCGGAGTAGGCGTCGAGAAAGGTAAGGATCTCATGGTCGGCCGTGGCATCAATCATGCGATCAATGTTAGGCAGTGGAAAAGAGTCTCTGGGGCATGCATTGTTTAAATCTTTATAATCTACGCACATTCTAAGTTTGTTCCCTTTCTTAGGGACTACAACTACGTTGGATAACCACTCGGGGTATTTTACCTCCCGAATGGACCCTATTTTAAGAAGTTTAGTTACCTCATCCTTTATGAATGCATGCTTCACCTCATATTGGGGCCTTTTTATTGCTTCACTAGTTTGAATCTAGGGTCAAGACTCAGCCAGTGTGTTGTTATTTTCGGCGAGATCCTTGTTATGTCTAAATGGGACCAAGCAAAATAATCCATGTTATCGATAAGAAATTGAATGAGTTTTTCCTGAGTTTGGGGGTTAACCCCGTTCCCAAGTATACCTTTTTCTCGGGCATGCACTCAATCAGTATGACCTATTCCAGTTCCTTGACCGTTGACTTGGTTGCATCTAACTCTTCGAGAATGACGAAAGTTCGAGGAGTAAGGAAATCCACTTCTTCTTCGATTACCTGTTCTTCTGATTGGGTCGAGGTTGGGGACGATGCTTATCTTTGATGCTCGATCTCTCCGAGGTCAAAGGCACTGGTATTAGTGTCACCTCATCGACTGCAAATATTTCATTTTCAGCGTGTTGTTCTCCATAAACCGTTTTCACACCATCTACTATTGGGAATTTCATCATCTGATATAGGGTTGAAGGTACTGCCCTCATGTTGTGGATCCATGGCCTCCCGAGTAGTGCATTATATCTCATGTCACCTTCGATGACATGGAATTTTGTATCTTGGATATTCCCGACCACGTTCATTGGTAGGATTATCTCCTCCTTTGTTGTTTCGCTTGCCATGTCAAAGCCATTTAGGACTCGATATTCAGGTACGATTTGGTCCTGTAGGACGAGCTGCTCTACAACCCTTGATCTGATTATGAATGCTGAGCTACCCGGATCCACTAGAACATGTTTAACTTGAACTTTATTTAACAAAATAGAAATTACCAGGACGTCATTGTGCGACTGAGATATGCCTTCTGCTTCTTCGTCATTGAATGATAGGACGCCCTCAGGTACATAACTCCGAGTCCATTTTTCTCTAGTGATCGACACATTTGAATATAGGTCCTTGTGGAACATCGACACGGCCAATGATCATATGAATTGCATGTTGCGGTTCTTCCTACTCATTTTTTCTGTTTGTATCTCTTTCCCTAAAGTGGTTCTTAGCTCGATCACTGAGAAACCCTTGAATATGACCCTCGTTGAACAATCGAGCTACCTCCCCCCTAAGCTGCTTGTAGTCTTCAGTCTTATGGCCATATGTGCCATGATATTTACACATCAAGTTTGGATTTCTTTAAGAAGGGTCGGTTTGCGTAGGCCTAGGCCACCTGATGTCTTTGATTCTTCCAATAGCTGATATGATCTCCAATGCATCTACACTGAAATTATACTCCGACAACCAAGGTGCTTCAGTGGGATCGGTGTGTTTATCAAAACCATGTTTACTCATAAGTCCCCGAGATCTTTGACCTCGATAATTTTTTCGATCGTTCTGAGGAGCGTTACGCCCTGAACCGTTGTTTCTCCGATCAAAATATGGCTAATACCATCTTGGTTCCCTGTCCGTATCCCTCGAGGCCTTTACTGCCAATCTATTAGGATGAACTGAACCCGGAGGGGCTCTCAACTGGTCGTCCTTGACCCTGACCTTCGATTGGTAAAGATTATGTACGTCTGACCAAGTCACAGCTAGGTACTCAATCAGATTTTGCTTCAACTGTCGTGATGGGATCGAACTCCGCTCGTTCAACCCATGCATAAAAGCTTGTACCGCCCAATCATCCGAGATCGGTGGTACTTCTATTCGCTTTATTTGAAATCGGGACACGAACTCCCTTAGCATATCAACATTCCTCTGTCTTATCTTAAAAACATCCGACTTCCTTGTTGCAACCTTTATGGCCCCGACATGTACTTTCACGAAGGCGTCTGCTAACATAGCAAACGAATGAATAATGTCCGGTGGCAAGTTGTGATACCAAATCATGGCTCCTTTTGGCAAAGTTTCCCGAAATTTTTTCAACAATACTGACTGGATCTCATCATCATTTAAGTAGTTTCCTTTAATCCCGCAAGTGTACGAGGTAATGTGTTTATTAGGATAGCTCGTTCCATTATATTTAGGTATGCAGGCATACAGAACTTCTCATGTATAGGCATCGGAGTCTCACTCGTGGGAAATGACTTTTGCATGAATTTTTGGGCATCCAATCCTTTCAAAACCGGGGGTGCCCCTGGTATTTGATCAACACGGGAGTTATACGTCTCCACTTTTTTGTTATTATCCTCAATCTTTTTCTCCCCCGACTCGATCCTTTTGGTGAGCTCCTCGAGCATCCTCATAATCGTGGGATCAGTCCCTGAGCCATTACCATTCGATCTTTCAAGCACCGGCTCAGTTCGGCGGGTGATTCCTGGTTCGACCACACTTGGAGTTTTTTGCTGACTTTGAAGCTGAGCGATAACAATCTATTGAGCTCGTAACATCTCGAATATTACTTGGAGTCTAACTCTCCCGTCTCCTACGCCTTGAGTTCATTGGACACCAGTTCGGCCTTCCTTGTGCACACTTGCTCCAGGATCCGCGCCTAAGTCCTCGTTCAGAGCAATGTGCGAATTGACATCGACCGGGTCGGCAGCAGGCACTTCCCCAAGGTTGACCGATAGCACCTCGACCGCTGGAGCAATTATGTTGTCATTTTCTCCGTGGAACCCAAGACCGTCATCACCATGTACGGGCGCGTTCTGTGAGTTTGACATGTTTAACCTGAAAACAAAGAATCTTTGACAATATCAAGTGTGAAAATAACGTGTGTTATAAGAACCAGTACTGAAATAACCACTATTATCTTTAGCCCCACGGTGGGCGCCAAACTGTTTACCTCGAAAATACGAGTAACAATTAAACTTGTTTGTGATTTAATCCAATACTAATTGATAAATAAGGAATTAATGCATAAATTTAAGAGTAAGGCAAGTCAAACCAATTGTGTAAGCAGACCTCGACCTCGTGCAAAGGCGACCTCGAGGTAAAAGAACAAGAACAACAATAATAGTAAAATAATAAGATGATTCAGATGAGCAATAGGCAAGAAAGTAAGAGAGTATATTCTTTACTGATGATTGATGCCCTTTATAAATGATTGAGGTCCCCTTTATATAGCAGGAGAACCTTAAATAAGGTACATTTCTATTTACAGTAAGGAATCTTATTGGGACAACTGTCTAACCACCTGGTATAGGTTCTCCTGCTATATAAAGGGGACCCAAATCTGTAACAAACTCATAACGACCCCACCTCGGGGTTGGTCGCACTCGGCTTCGGTGCCTACCGCATACTCTGATCTTCGAGCCCTGTATTCTGTCATCAGGCTTAGTTCATCGGCCTCGAACTCGACCCATCTTGAACTCGGGCTTGAAGCGACTCTTCGAGCCCGTGAAATAGAGCATACGTGATTTCGACCTTACAGACACACCAAATAAGAAAAAAAGTAATAATCTTTCCACATAATTTTTGTTATTTTCAATTTTAGAGTTGGGAAAGAGAGAAATCTAATCAACCTTAGAAGATATTTCGATTGTAAACCTATCAAATTTTTTCTCTGTTATCTTATATTTACACCAAAATAATGTATAAATAATCATCTTTACATACGGTTTATCATTTAATCATAATTATACTTATTATCACCATTTTTTATTATCAAACATAAATAAGTTAACGGTGAATCAATATTTTCCTTAGCTGTACTAATAAGAATCCTCCAAAAATGGCTATATTTCATTTTAATTTCCCCCCTCCAAATTAGCTTTTAAACCTCCTTTTACCACAGTAAAAATAATCCTTGGCGCCAAAGGCAGACTCTCCATATCATAACCCCGCGCGCGCGAAAAATAAACCGTCCAAAACACAACCAATTCAACATTCCCGCCATGTCCACTTTCTCTCCTTAAAACCTCCAAAATGCGACCCGAAATCCCCGATTCCCTTTCATTCCCCAACCCGAAATCAAATGGATCTTTCCGACATTGCCCGAAAGCTCGGTCTATCTGAAACCAAGCACATTGTACGTAAAGCCGCCGAGCTCCGTCGTCTCGCTGATGTCCAATTCGATTCCTCCGTCATCGGCGTCGTAAGTAACTAATGTTATGAATTGGTCGTTTGAAAGAAGAAATTTATTCGATTGGAATGTAATTTGGAACAATGTTAACCAAAAATCTATTTGATTCTTTTCTGCAGGGCGAGATATGCAAGGCTATAATTTGCCTAGAGATTGCTGCTTCTAGGTAATGGGAGTCAATTAATGGCGTGTCGATTCCTAATTAGTTTGGGTCAATTTTGTAAATTTAGGGATTGGTTCTATGAATCCTCTATATGTGTTTCAATTAAATTAGGATCTTTATCAGTTTTGTGTTGATTTATAGTACTACATAAAAATAACAAAAATTGTGTTGAATCCTCTATATGTGTTTCAATTAATTTTTTTGGGGGTTGATTTTGGATGTCAAAGTACCAATGGATGAATCAGCTGGGCAATGTATAACTTCTGTTCTATTTTGACTTATTTTGTCTTAATGCTAAATTATTTGTTTTATAAGGCAAATTAACTGTCTATTTATTGTATTGCATCAACATTAGAAAAATGGTAGCCTGATCCACTAAGCTCCCTATATGTGCGGGAGGATGGACCAGCATCGGGTCTAATATATGCAGCCTTACCTTGCATTTCTGTAGCGAGTTGTGAAACATTATTGGGTCTGAACAAAAAAATTATTTTATGTGCTGATGAGTTGTGAAATGTGGTATAGTAGGAGTAATATTTGTGTGTATCATTTTGTAAGATGTTTTGATGATAAATGTAGGATGGACATGGTGTTTGATCGTCAGGCAGCAATAAAATTGAGTGGGATGTCTGAGAAGGCTTATAACAGATCGTTCATTTCAATGCAGAATGGTATTGGAGTGAAGTAAGTTGTCAATCTTTTGTTTCAGTCTACACTTTCCTTTTGTGAATCTGTACATGTCTTTTGGAGCTAAATGGTGTTTTGTTATGTGTTAGATTCTTGCTGACGTGAATGTTTCTTTGCTTCAACTTTGCAGAAACAAGCTTGATATTAGAGAACTGGGAATTCAGTTTGGGTGTGTCAGACTCATTCCTTTTGTTCGTAAAGGTCTATCATTGTAAGTTTGATTGTCGACTTTGTACTTATGGTTTTACAGAATTGTACTGCCTGTGATATTTGATTGAATGTTTGTGAACCAAATTGGACAAGAATAAGCTGCTTTTGTATAAGCACTTAGAGAATTAGGCTTCTCATAGTGAATGAACGATTGAAATTGTTTATTTTCAGGTACAAGGATCGGTTTCTTGCATCCTTGCCACCTTCTCGAAGGTCAAGTGCTGATTTCACTCGACCTGTGTTTACTGCTGGTGCATTCTATCTGTGCGCAAAAAGGCACAAGGTTTGTTTGGTCTACTTTTTACTTATTGGCAGTCTTGCTCTCTTGTACTGGTTGTAGCAGCATGATAATTTGGTATAAAATGCCTCATTGTTTCTTTGTCTGTGTTTTGCAGCTCAAGGTTGACAAAATGAAGTTAATTGAGCTTTGTGGCACATCAGAATCTGAATTTGCTAGTGTAGGGCCTTATGCTCCCTTGGTTCCTTAATCATTTATTTACTTAAGCTATCAGTTTGCTATACTATGATTCTAATAATATTATGTTTGACATAATACAGGTTTCTACCTCGATGAGCGATCTTTGTTTTGATGTTTTTGGTATATCAAAGGAGAAAAAAGATCCTAAGACAGTGAAGGGGAACCGAGGTAACTCATGCTGATTAAGTTCCTCACTTCAGTGCAAGCAAAATGTGGTTCAGTCCTTTTCAATACATATGATGATATTTGGTCTTTAACTCAGTGATTTGCATATGCAGAGTTGCTAGATGCATTACCTGAAAAAAGGACTGTTGAAGATGGTGGCTATTCATCTGAGGAGGATAATGTAAATTATAAGCTCTCTCTTCGATTTTGCTACTAGTTATTCATTCCATAACACTAATCAACATAAATAAGGAGCATTGAAGCTCTCAACTCAGATGTAAAAACATCTGTGCATATGTATTGAATAGATGGTGGGATGCAACCCTACAATTGTTGCGTACATAGTGTCTGTTGCAATCCACACAGATGCTTATTTGAACCCCTCGATTAGAAAAAATATGATGGATTTGATTGGTCACTGGTTTGTCCCCTTTACCATAAACTAAAGCATGGCTAAATGCAAGTCAATCGCTGCAAAACTTTGTGCATGAGCAGTATAGTTAAAGTTATTACATTTCAGTTTGAGTTGGCTTTTATGGAGTTCTGAGGCCCTTCATTTTACAGTCATCAGCCTACAAGAAGCGCAAACGTATGGACAAACATGCTTATGAGGAATGGAAATCTATTGTCCTAGCATCAAATAATGAAAGTGGCCAAAAAGGTAGAGTAAATGCATACCCTATCCATAACTGAAAGAGTTTCTAGAACATTTGGTAACTATATTAGCTAGCTTATGTACTGATGGAAATTGTCTGTTTATTCTTGTAGCTCCTAAACAAAACAAACAAGCCCGGCTCGACTTCATGAAGAAAGTTCCTGAAACACAAGTGCAAGCTACATAAAGCTCAATTGTCATTTTCAATTAGACAAATTTTAGTTGATTTTTCAATACAGTAAAGAGAATGATTGGGAAGAAACTTCCTTTTGTTTTCTTGATACCATAGTTGACTAGAGAAAAACAAAAGAAGGGAAATTAGAATGTTTCATTGAACTTTGATAGTGGTAGGCCACTACTGAAACTTAATCACCATTTGGATTAATCTTGCTTAACAGCAAAGTTTCTCTGTATAGATATAAATTATTTTTATTTAATAATCACGTCACATGCTGTTGATAGTTCAATAATTGAGAGTGTTCTGTGACCATTTTCTTCTATAATACGTAACTCATTATCTTACTATTTATAGTCCTCATGTCTTTCAGAATTATTATCCTGTATGCACGTAATCATAAAATGTATAGTCATCCACTCTTGACGAAATGGTCAAGACAAAAGGATGCTTTCACAATTGGAGACCTTGTATTTCAAGAAAGAAATAGAAAAAGGATGCTTCCGCAATTGAAGACTTGTCTTTGAAAGAAAAATATGATAGTGAATATATCCACATAGAAGACCCAAGTTCCACAATTGGAAAGTCCTATTTAATGTCTGGAGTTTTTTGTTTTATTTTATGACTAGGACTAATTCAAGTTTAAACAATTCCATAACTCTCTCTTGTTGGTTGTCAATTTCTAAGACATTCTCACCTATACAAGCTAGTAATTGAGGTTAAGTTGTAGTTGGAATTTTCCAACACAAGTTTAAAGATAACTGTCCCAAAACTTAACAACAATACAATAATAACATACATGTTATGATAAAAATCAAAATATGGTGGATGTCTATTCTTCCTCCATGATCTTTCTCTCAAATGGTTAATGACATATTCAATGACATATTTTCTATGTTCAATGACATATTCCATGACATATTTTCTTCACTTTTCATGCCTATATAAAGGCTTTGTAATAGATAAGAAAATACACACAATTGAAGAAGAAAATCTCTTCCTTCTCTCTATCTCTATTNTCTTTCTCTCAAATGGTTAATGACATATTCAATGACATATTTTCTATGTTCAATGACATATTCCATGACATATTTTCTTCACTTTTCATGCCTATATAAAGGCTTTGTAATAGATAAGAAAATACACACAATTTAAGAAGAAAATCTTTTCCTTTCTCTCTATCTCTATTTCTTATTCATGTTTTACTAAATTGTCTTTATTTCTTGTTCATGTTTTACTAAATTGCATTTATTTCATAACACGTTATCAGCACAAGTCTCTACCCAATTGTATATATATATCTACAAAATTTTTCCTACATCCAGAAAGATTACAATTAGAAGCCATACATATCATCACATGGTTAAATGTAAAGAGAAACTACATATGGTAAGTAATGAAATGTAAGAAGGTATGATTATCTTATACTTGTTATTCCTTTAAAATCTCATATGCACACAACTTCTTACTACACCTGTATTGCATAAGCACATATTAATATCACATCTTTTATATCACATGAATGGAATAAAAATTTTCGAAGTTTTGTATGTTAAAATCATAGTAGCAGTTAATTGTTGATATGATGCATGTCATGGTAACCAAGGATATTTTATATAAATTGTCTTATGCATATTTATGTGTTAACTATCTTCAATCTGTCCTGCCGCTTTTAACATTTTCTTTTACTTGGATGAATATTTTTTTTCCTTTTGGATTTTTACACTTGCATATAGTATAAAAAAAAGAATAAAAAATAAAATAAAATTGGTCATATTGATTAAGAGCATAAATCATCTTGAAGAAAACAAGAAATACTTCACATCTTTATCTAGGTTGA